GACTGGGGGAGAGGGGAGTGTAAGGGACAGGCTTGCAGGGTATACCTTTGGTTGGTTGATGATGCATGGAGAGGGGATTGTAACCATGGCAATGAAACGATATACAATAGAAAGAATATAAAACTAATGTTCTCCCATGTAAACTATCATATAATTCACAATAAAACATTAAAAAAAAAAAAGACAGTCAAGTATCATATTTAGAATACTGGAAGACAACAAACAAGCAAAAAAACCTGTCAGCCTAGAATTCTATGCCTGGAAAAAACATTTCTGAATATGAATGCAGGACTTCTAGTAAGATGGCAGACTAGGCAGGCACACTACACAGACCCTCTACAACAAAGATATGAGACCAAACGAAACAGTCACAGGTGAAAACCCTATAACCCTGAACTTCAGAGGAAAGGTTTGAAAATTGGACTGAGTGCATGCTGGGAGGATAAGCTGAGCAGGGTCAGCCAGAGAAGATAGACTGATGAAGGCCAGCCAGACACAGTGTGACAATCTTGGGAGCAGCTTTAGCAACAGAAGGTACCCTGACAGAGCAAAATCACACAGGAGACAAGAAATCTGCAATCTCTTCTTTTTTTTCACATGCTCCCCTGGTAACCAGAGGTGTAGTCACCTCCCACTCTCATTCACTCCCAGTTCAAATTCTGCTCTCTAGGAGTTGGGAGGCACATGGTCGTGAGTCACGACACTGTGAGGTGGGGGTCAACTGTACCACTTTGGTTCCTGAATTCAGGTGGGCTCAGCTCCCAAACTACAGAAGCTACAGAGCCACCAGACCAGCATTTAAGCAGTCACCGTGCCCCCAGCTTCCCTGTGGTCCTAACAAACACTGAAATCAGCTCTATCAATAAGACTAGGCCCTCAATACAGATAGATAGGAACTCCTGCTAGGGTCAGGACCTCTGCCTTCACATCCCTCCCACACCCATTTCTTGAGCTCTTTTGGCTTGCAGGAGCGCCCCAGAGTTTTCTCCTCTCTGGGTCCAAAAGCTACACCGTTTTTTGTTTCATTGTTTTTGTTTATTCACTCTCCTTATTTTTCTCTTTCTACTTCCTTGAGTTTTATCCTTTCTATCTCTGCTGTTGTCCTTTTGTCTTTTGTTTCTCACTTCCTGTCTTCTCCCCACCCCCACCACCCCATTGCTCTTTCTTACTATATTTACTCTTTCTCTTTTCATCTTCTCTTTCCCTGTTTTTTCTTTTATTTCCTCTCCTATTGTTCCCTTCTATAGGTCCATTTCCCTGTTTCTCTTGTCTTTAAAGTTAAATTGTTTTTTTCTGGTTTCTGATTGTCTTTATTTCCTTTCTATTATTATTATTTTCTCTTCATTGTTGGTTCCTTGTTTAATCTCTTGTGTGTGTCTCTGTGTGGGGAGCACAGATTTTCTCTTTCTTATCCAACAGGAGACAACAACCTTGCCCATACAGCCCAGCTATAAACTATCCTCTAAAGCAACACCGACTGGGCAAGAGCCAGAACCAGCCCCAATACACCTGATCAAAGACAGACAGTAGCAAACACCAGGCAAACCCACTCTAAACTGAGGCACATGAATGGCAAACTAGGAACAGTGTACACGCTTCCATTCTCTAACTACACCCACAGAAAACAGTTGGTGAGAGCCTGAGAATAAACCCACATACAATCATC